CGCAGAGCGCCGTCACGCTCGGGGGCCAAATCTACGAAAATTAGACTTGAGTCGCAATCAGATGCTGGCTTTAAAAGCCCAACCCTTCCCCTCCCTCCCGTCTCTCTTTATCTCACACACACACACACACACACACACACACACACACACACACACACACACACACGCTAACAAAACCATTGTCAAAAGCGGCGCCAAACTGCGAGCGCCGGTCGGAGCGCGTTTGGCCGAGTCTTCTGCCAGTGCTCTAATCAAGGGGGAATGTTTAACAACTGACATTGAGCTCGCGGGGGCCTTTCATTAGTGTCCCTCAGTCACCGGCGGAACGGAGGAGCGAGAGAGCGAGATGAGAGCGGAGGACACGAGGGAAACGTTTCTCAAATCACCCAGATTAACACCAGCACGGCTGTCACATTCGCCGGGGAGCGGAGCGGCTTTTGCTTCGCCGGGCAGATGTTAAATGTGATGGAAAGTTGTAAAGTTGGAGGGGGGAAAGTTTCTCTTTCTAAGGCCATCGCTCCGGGCGGTGGAGCCAAACCCCCCCCCCAGCTGATCAAAGAGAGCGAGAGAGACACACACGAGGGGATTAACAGAAAACAAGAGGATCGGCGGGAGGCTGTGAAGGAATAGACGACTCCTCTCCTCTCCTCTCCTCTCCTTCCCAACCATCTACTCTTTTCTTCAGCTGTGTGACTTCCTCTCATCTTCCCAACTCTTTCAACTCTCCTCCTATTCCTCGCATGTCCCCTGCTCCCCTGGCTTCTCCGCCCTGTTCCACGGCCCACATTAAATCTCTCACCCTGCTTCTCCTTCCCTCTCCCCCCCCTCCCCTCTCCTCTCGTTGCTACGCTGTAATTGGACCTGGAAGCCTAAAGACAAGCAGCTCAGTGTGCGTCGGGCTGCCTGACAGGCGCGTTGGCTTCTATTAAGCTTCAATGAGTGAGCAGGATTGGAAGAGGAGAGAAGGAGTTTAAAGTGCACGGTGCTGCTTCGGTGCTGTCGCCTCTCGGTGGGACGCACGGCAACAAAGACGCGCGTTCACATCCTTTCCTTTCCATCGGCTCTTTCGGCTTATTGCCTGCAGGTTTCCTTCGGCGTGTTGTGTGTCTATGTGGTAGAATAAAATCAATTCAACGTTGAATAATAATATCCGGGTCAAGGTGAAAGACAATCGAGGAAGCACGTTGAATGGGAGAAGGCCGGCCCGGTTACACACACACACACACGCACACTCACATACACACACACTGACGTCAAGTCGTCTCCTCCTGCACGAGGGTGACGGGCGGTGTTATTGCACCGTGCTGAATTTAATCCGAAGTGCCACACAGCAACCACAGAGCCCAGTTGAGGTAAATGTTAGAGAAATGTCTACTAGCTCTGCAGCTGAGTACAGCAAGAACAATTCCAGATGTGTGTGTGTGTGTGTGTGTGTGTGTCTGTGTGCGTGCGTGAGCGAGAGACGCCGTTATCTGGCAGATTTCTCTGAATTTTGTTGCAGCAGCGCTTCTTTTTTTGTTTACAAAGTCATCAACTGTAGCGGTCCGGGGGGGGGGGGGGGAACATCCCGCAAAGAATCAATTGATTGTGTTAGAATTCCAAACTCTCTCCACTGTGCGTGAGTGTGTGTGTGTGTGTGTGTGTGTGTGGGCAGTAAAAAGTAACATATTGATAACCTTCATTTGCGTCCGCCCACAAACATAGATGATGTCGTTTAAACCAGCAGTCTCTCCAAACTGAATATTGGCCTGAAACATGAAAATGTAAACAGCGAAGGATCTGGCTTTTGTTTCGGCTGCATGCAACAAAAATGTGTTTGAGGCGAAAAAAGAACCTCCGATAAACAAATGACAAATTCAATAGAAACTTAGAAGTACACAAGTGTTTAAATGAACACGCAAAGACGGATGGCACCACGAGCTGCGTGACAGCGCGAGTCCAGGGATCTGAGTTATGAGCTGCCATCCGCGCGCGGGGCAATGCTGAGATATTGAGCCAACAAGTTTTTACATCCCGTTCATTCAGAAATAAATCCTAATAAACACTTTAAAATGCCTGAATGGAGCCTCATGCGACGGCCTACTTCACAACGTTAAAAGAAAATCCCTGACTTTGTATTGGACGATACTTATAATACTTATTCTTATACCATACTTATACTTAGTAATTGGTTTGATTTAATGGTATTTTTCACGTTACTCACTGTAAACAATGACTACCTTGAATAACTTATAATCATGCTTTAATTCACCATAACGGTGGTTTTAATGCATTATTTTTAAAAATCTCATAAATTATAACAACAATGGGAATCTGGATACACTATAATCTTTAGTTAGCGAGTCAGTGACCAGTAATTATCAGTATTATGGTGCTTGACCTTCTCAGTCATTATAAAACGAATGTGTATGAGAACATGTGACTTATTTAGTACTATAAGCCGATTATAACACGGTATATGTTCATCATGCATAAGCGCCATAGAAAGTGCTTTGAATTATCATTCAGAGGCGGTGATGAAAGGGAGAAAAGGCAAAGACAAAAGGAAGATAAAAGGAAACGAGGGAAGAAGACGCTGCGCCATAAAGCAAACAAAGAATTAAAATGAAATACGCTATTGGACCGAAAAAACAACCCCGCTGATGGAATGTGATCTCCGGTCATTCACCAGGATTTGGGCGCTGAACTGTGCGTGTTTACGTGGCCCGTGTGCACGTGTGTCTCTGAGCTCATTGGATCGGTGATGAAGGGCTGATTCGTGCTGAAAAGGACATTGATTGACCAACAAGGCCGGCTGATTAATGTCGGGTCTGAGCGGATGGATCCCGTAAAGCTGTTGAGAGGATCGAGGGGCATCGGAAGTGTCGGAGTTCTCTTTAGGGTGAAATAGCAATCGACAGCGAGGGATAAATTATTGACTATAAATCTGGCTATTTGTTAGTGCGATGCAGCTGGTTATACAGCTTATAGGGAACTTTTTAAATTTATTTCTGTTTGACAAAATGCTGCTGAGTTTGGTGATCTGGTTCGATATTTGGGATTTTTAGTTTAGAACAACTATTGACTCAGAATGAATTCTACAAACTGGTGATCCTTTTCTATTGAGAACCACCATCGTTCAGGTAAAACATGTAATTCCTCCACTGCTTTTGATTTATGACCAAATATCTGTAAAACTAATGATGTCCCATCAGCTCCAGCTGCTTTATGTGTTGTACAAAGATAGAAATATTGATATCCTAAACGCCCAAATATTACCTGCTGCCTTAATAATAACCATTGTGCGCGTGTTAGCCTGCTGATTCTAGCAATGTGCACGGCTTTACCTCACAGTAGACTGCTAATGTCGTCATTAGTGACTGTTTCATCCTTTTCTCTGCTCTTTCTGTTTGCACATTGCAGAGCACGGTCGCCCCTTCAATCGAAGGATGGGTGGTCCCGGGGTCAAGTGTCTTGACCCCAGGTGGCTCCCGTAGCCGCGGTGTGTGAATGTTAGTTAGAGTCCCGATGGGCAGATGGCGTCTTGCAGTTCGTTTAGCACCGCGCTTCAGTCACGACCTCCAGGAGAAATGAATGTGCTTCTTTTTCATTTGGAACCTTTTCCTGCCAAAGCGGTTTCCAGCGTGTGATTGATGTATTTATTTTAACCAGCTTTTTGGCTCGAAGCGTTTGGGATAAGCTTAATCGGTGCATAAACCTCAAAAAAATTCATTTAAAATTGAGCGATTACTTTCTGGGTAAAGACGAGTACAGATTTTACTTTATTTTTGTGTTTTTGGTAAACTCCTTTGAATGTATCTGCCGTTCCCCCGGCTCAATGTCAATGTGTGGAATAACGCTGTAGTTTACCGAGCCACAGGCGCATTAATTACCCACCAGGCGGCCTCGTGTTGGTGTATTTGCACCACAACCAGCTTCATTTGTTCCCATTAAAAATGAATTTGTCAGAGCGTTAGAGTATGTTTGTTTAAAAGGACGCTGCTGTTCTCTGTACGTTCATTCCGTCTTCCGCTCTCCGTCCCGGTGGTGAGTAAGTGGCTCCCGATGTCTATTAATGACGTCCATTTATTTCACTGTCCCTGTGCAGACCGTCCTTCCGCTGCCTCTATCCCTGCCATGATTTAACATCTATTATTATGTTTGTTTAAGGCCGCAAATGTTCCAGTTCGCTTTGGGCAACTTCTCCCTCTCTCTCTCTCTCTCTCTCTCTCCCTCTGGAACGCCCTCCCTTTCCTTCCTCTGTTCTTCTCCAATCTGCTTTTCAATCGAATTCCCTGTTCCGTTGTATTTGCTGGTGTTGGTCTCAGGAGCTCACGCTGGAAAGAACAACTTTTCTTTCTGGCATTTTCCTAATTGATCTGTGGCAGCCGGGGCCGTGGTTCAGCTGCACTCAGATCCTCAATTATTCATTAAAAGTTCCCTCTGAGGAAGTTCATATTTTTTTTTATATATATATATAAAAGAAATAGATTCATGATGTTGTCTGCTGATTTTTTTTTTATCTCATGTTCAGCTTTCGAAAAGCACAGAGAGGCGGGAAATATCCCTCAATGTTACTGCCTTCACTCGCTTTGAGTGAAAAGAAAGATGTTTTCTTTAAGCTCAATAGGTAATTATATGTTTTTACAGTGGAGTCACAAGTAGTCCAAGCAACACAAACTCGTGTGTGTCATTTGAAACCTTGGAATTATTACTCACCATTAATGCCCGACTTGGCATCTCTCCCTGTGAAGCCGGTGTTGTGAAACACGTCAGGGTTGAGAGCTATTCTCAATCAGGACGCCAGTTATTACAGCTATTAAAGTCACCATCCACTTTACGTAATCAAGGCAATTGCACCTCGGCTGCAAGCATACGACCATTCCCACCCGCAGCGGGGGAGAGAGAAAATGGGCCCTTTTGTCTTGCTGTTCGTTAACTCCCACATGTTTAATACAGGAGGTATCGATTCTATTTCCCCCGGTTGACTTATCTCTGCGATTGTTTTTCTCCCCGCGTAGGATTGCTGCTCCAAGAGAGTTTCATCGAGGAGCCGGACGGCCTGGTGTCCGTGAACCTGCTGGTGGTGTCCGCCGTTTCGGCCTTCGCCACGGGAGCCGTCCTCTCCGGCCTCACCGTCTGCTGGATCATGAGTCACCGCCACCGCCACCCTCGGGGCCCGGGGGCCGGCGGCGCCCGCCGCAAGGGTGACAAGGAGCAGAGCATGCTGGGGCAGGGCCAAGGCGGGTCGGTGATGAGCGTGACGAGAACCAGCGGCGGCGACCGGCGGCGCTCGCAGGCGGACAACCCCTTCGTGGTGCCCAACGTCTGGCCCAAAGTGGAGATGGACCCGGGTTTGCTGCCCACGCCGGAGCAGACGCCGCTGCAGCAGAAACGGTCCCTGCGTCTCCCCGACTCCGACTGAGACCAGAGCCAGACCTTCCTCACCGCCGTGGGGACGCCATGCCCCAACAACTCGGGTCATCTACCTGAGCTCCAAGTTCCTGCACGGAGGCGGTGGGGGGATGGTCCGGATAGAGGACCAGGGGGAGGTGCTGCTGCCCCCGCACGCGGAGCGCCAGCGCTACCTGATCCTGGCCACCCAGCGAGGCGAGCACGGCGGCGGTCGCCCCAGCGGCGCCCTGAGGAACTCGGCGGGAGAGTACATCTACCCGGCCACGCCGCAGGACTCCCCCGACCGACGGAGGGTGGTGTCCGCCCCCACGCCCCACATGGACTACGGGGAGCCTCGCTGGAGTCACGAGGCGCTCAACTTCAACAGCAACAACGGAGCGCCCTATCACTCCCAGCGGCCGGGCCTCATCAGGCCAGATGTGCACGGGCCGCGGGGGCTGGGAGAACTGGCTGACTTCAGCCATCTGCTGGGCAAGAACATGGGAGAGCGCGCCCCCAGTGGCCAGTGAGGCAACGTGCGGGAGCACTTCTCTCAGACTGGAATGAACGACCCCTCAGACTCACCGTCCCGGTCCCACCTTTCCCCGTCTGTCCTCTCTCACCGTCATTCAATGTCCTGACGTCATTCAGCTGACCGAAGAGAGAGACCAAGAGACAGTTGAAAAAGAGGAGCAAACTCTCCTCGCGTCTCCTGCTCGGAGTCGGAGGTGCACCCCTCTGCTCTGTAAGCGGTACGGCCCGCGGGAGCTTGACTTTGGCACCGCCGGGCGAACAGTAAGCTAAAGAGAGGGGTGCCCAGGAAAGGGAATCTTCTAAAAGTACAGTGTGGAGATTTAAAAAAAAAAAAAGAAGAAAAAAAAGAAGACCATGTCCCTTGCAGCGCCAAATGTGAAAGGTCTCCCTCCACCATCTTGTTTTGACACCCTGGATCTTCTTTGAGTGCAAGTTTTTGTTTCGGCTTTTGTTTTTGTTTTCCAGCAGACAACAATGTACTTTACTTTGGATTTCAGAGGAGACTAAAACCATCGTAGCCGCGCCAGAGGGCAGAGACTCAATGAATCATGCAGTGTGTGTGTGTCTGAGTGTGTGTGTGTGTGCGTGTGTTTGTGGCCACGACACACCCCAACCAGTGTCCCGTCTCAACTGTGAAACTATGTAATGACATTTCTGTACGGAGGAGGTTGGCGTTAACATTATTATTTTATTTTTATAAACTAGGGCACAGAGACAAATGTATCTCGGTGTGTTTACCAATCAGAGAGTCGGCCATTTGGCCAGCGGAGGGGCGAGATCCCCGTTTTTATTTTTGAGTACCTCGTTGGACAGAGCCATCGCGAAGTGAAGGAAAGCAATAATGAGACATGTAAGGACAAAGACAAAGACTATTTAATTCGATGTTTTATAACGCGACCGTTTTCTCAGCGGAGCAAAGTGATGTTTAGAGCTGTCAGGAAGAGACGCCCCCCCCCCCCCCCCCCGGACAAGGAACAGTATCTCCCCTCCATTCTTCCCTCGCTGGGTCTCAATACGCCCGGGCCCTACTGAACTGACCCCAGGGCCCCCCCGGGCTCCGCCCTCCATTGGAAAGAAGGAACGTGAGCTGAAGCTGTCTGAACGGGGGCTGTGTGAACCCCCCCCCCCTTCTGCCCCGCTCCCTTCAGCCCGCTCTAAGCGCCGACTGAGCCTCCTTTTGTGCCCCAGAAGCGGGAGGAGACCGCGGGGCGGCGAATAGCCGTTAAAGACTCAGGCGCCCCCCCCTTCCCCCCCCGCCCCGGCCCTGCAGAATATCAATGAAGAGGACGGCGGCTCCCCCGCGTCATGTGAGACGTACCCGACCCCGGAGCGGGACACCTCCCCCGGCCCGCCCCGGACGAGGCCCCGCTCGCCGTCACAATGGTCGTCCCCCCGTGGCTTCCCCCCTTTCAGGGTTGTTTGGGGACGGCAAAAGCGGCGGGAAGAGAGAACAGACGGGCAAATGTCGCCCCGGGTGTGGAGTTACTCCTTTCGGTCCGCCGACTGGTCTTTTGATGTTTATCCGGATGTTGGTGTTTTTTTTCTGTTCCCATCCGTTTCTGATTCAAATGTTCAAATGGTTCATCCTGGTCGTGGTGCGTTAGAGGCGGCTGCGTTTTGTAACCGTCGGCTGCTGTGTGTGTGTGTGTGTGTGTGTGTGAGTCCGTTTGGGTTCGAGTGCGTTACTCACATTGAGTGCCAAAAACTGCTTTGATCACTTGTGCTTTCGTTCTCACCCTTCATCTTTTATTCCACCCCCTGGTTCTTTCTCTATTGAGCCATCAATGTTTTTCTGCAACCCTTTGCTCGACATTCGGAAAAGCCTTTCGGAAACCACGACTGTACACAAAGAAGTAGGACTGAAACGGGAAAGCCGGGCTGTGCTTTGATAGACCTGCAGTGCACACACACACACACACACACACACACACATGAGAAGGTAGCAGAATGTACAAATAATAGTGCAGTGTATTATTTGATTATTACATTTGATTAGAAAGTTTGGATTTATTGAAACATTCCGAAGAGCTAGACTGAATAGAAGGGTCTTTAGTTTCTGTGAGATCTTCTAGATGTATTGATTCATTGATGCTAAACTTGGTGAAATATATACATGTTTCACTATAAAAATCATATTTCTCATATTATGTGGTTTTATAACCCAAGCAGTTGCACGATACCCTTGTCTGAAAAATATATTTTGTCTAAATTTCTATTTAAACCTAGGACTGTTTAACCCTGAAAAAGTAAAAACAACTCTGTAAGTCAGACCAAATACCAGCTGACGGTTTTCACTCCTCGGCCCCGCGGACGCATTTTACTAAAACAGCACTAAGGTTCAGCGCCGAGCGTTAGAAGGCAAAAAGACAAACACGCAGCCGGGGCTGAAGGTTTGCTGCGTGAGACAAGCCAGTGAAAGAGATTTATGAAAGCAAGGACAGAGGAGGAGGTCATGATGTTACTGCATTACCGCCTCAGCACATCACTACAGTGTATTCTTTACACATTCCGCCCTGAAACAGGTCATTAGTACCGAGGATACGCAGCCGTCCACCAGCCACGACTCCCTTTATCGCCCTGCTGTGACCTGAGTGCTGCTTGTCTGTGCGTGTGTGTGTGTGTGTGTGTGTGCGTGTGCATGTGCGGGTGTGAATGAGGCCTCTCCGTCTCGACCCGCCTCGCCCAACCAGCCGTGTCCTCGCTCTGCAGCTCCTCCGGTGTTTCGCTAAACATGCTTGATTAGGCAAAGTATATTTTCCGAGGCCCCTCTAATGGGCCGATGAGCCCTTGAGGAGATTACTGCAGACACGAGGGGGAGAGGGGGGAGAGGACTGGGGGGGGGGAGGGCGCACGTTGGACCGGCTCGTCACCCCGTTTACTAACCGCCGGCCTCGCTCGCCCCGCTCGCATTGCGCACCAGCAAACGCCGTCGTCCATCGAACTGAATCCGCGGCGCAATTGAATTACGAGGCCTGACATAGGCCGACGCCCCCTCGCTGTAGGGGAGGTCCTGCTCGCGATGCCGCCTCACTCACCGGGTCGTTTCGTTACATTTGTTCGACACTACAGGGCGGCTGAGGAACTCAAGTGTGGCCTCGTTAAAGTGGAGTCTGTTTATTCAAGTCATCATCCTCCTTCTTCTCTACAAACTTGTGTCATTCCCATCCGTCCTCTTTTAACGGCTGCACTTTGTCTCCTTTTTTCAAAATGCTTTTTATAGCTGACTCACACTGCTCACACACACACACACACCTAATAATTCAGCTCAATTTATGTGCAGGCTGCACCTTCATCCTGTTTGTCACCGTTAAAGGTTAGCTTGTTAATGTAATGAGGCGGTGACAGAAACAGAAATCAAATAATTCCCCAAATCAAATCCATAAGTGACAATATTTCATAAAACATTTACAAACCCTCTTATGCGGTAAATTGCTTTCCTTTCCTTTGAAATCATTTTGTTTGGAGTTTTTCTTTTTTTGGGTGACACATATTGCCTCCAGTTCCACACACACATTCTCCCTCTTTATCTCTACAGCACGTATCAACACACACACACACACACACACACACACACACACAGAAGAAATGCCCACCCATCATGACCCAGTCTGTGTGTGTTTATCCGGTTGTGCCCCCCCCACTCCTCTCCCCCCTCCCCAGCCAATAACTGCCATCTCGCCCAGTACGCGGCCCATGCCCCACAGAGAGCCCAGGAATGGGGGCTAACTATTCCTAAATCCACCGTCTCACTCGAGAGCACCGACATGAGAGAGCTCCGAATTTTAAAAAAAAAAGCACAAAACAAGGCGTGAAAACAAAATGTTTGCTTTTTCTATAGTTTGTTCCTGTGCTAGATATTCGGGTTTGAAATGATTATGGAGTATTATTGTGTATGATTTCAATTCCTCCGGCGCGCCCGGATTCGACGGCGACGATGAAGACGAAACCCCGAAGACTCTCGCGAGGAAGCAGCGCCGACCTGAACCTGAGAGGAGAGCAAGAGGACGAAGAGTGAATGGACTGAAGTTCTATAGCTGCAGAAGGGGATTCTCCCACTACTGTGAAGGACCCCCGTCCCAGACCCCCCCCCCCCCGCCGCGGCCCTCGGGGGCCCGCCGCCGTCCAATGACAACACATGTCCCTACTGGGTACATAACCTTGATGCTTACATGTAATTTAAGTGCAGTAGCTGCATGAACACACGGCCTCTGTGTGTGTGTACAGAAGTAGCGACGTGTGAATTTGTACAGTACATGCAAGTGTGTGTGTGTGTGTGTGTGAGTGCAAATGTGTTCGCAAAGAGATCTGTCCGTCGTCACGCTAAACGAATCACGTGCATGCACCCTCCCACAACTGCCCAGTGCACACGCCTCCTCTACACACACACACACACACGCACACGCACACACTCCAGCAGTTGTTCACCATTCTCCACATTGTCCTGAGCTGTGCGTGTCACTCCGCATGGAGACTTTGCTCTATGTCAACTTTCTTATTCTAATAAACCTCTCAGACGTTGATCTCGAAGGTGACATCGTTGACCAGCGCGTGTTGTGATTTGTGTCGTTTATGAACACGTGAAACTCGACTTCTCACCGAGGACGGGTTGTACTGGGACAGAGGGGACGGGTTGTACTGGGACAGAGGGACAGAGTGGAGGGGTTGTACTGGGACAGAGGGACAGAGTGGAGGGGTTGTACTGGGACAGAGGGACAGAGTAGAGGGGTTGTACTGGGACAGAGGGACAGAGGGGACGGGTTGTACTGGGACAGAGGGACAGAGTAGAGGGGTTGTACTGGGACAGAGTGGAGGGGTTGTACTGGGACAGAGTGGAGGGGTTGTACTGGGACAGAGGGACAGAGGGGACGGGTTGTACTGGGACAGAGGGACAGAGGGGACGGGTTGTACTGGGACAGAGGGACAGAGTGGACGGGTTTAAACATGCTTAGCGATTGAACTGAGAACAACAACATCGCGCTGCTGAACGAGCTTAAAGTCTCCAGATGAGAACGTCATCAAACACTGCGATGCGACCACGCTGTTGCCTAGCAACGCAACGGCGAGAGCGCGCACATCGTTGTGTTGCTGAAGCTGCAGCCTCTGCCGAGTTTTTATACCGTATGCACGTTAACCTTGTCTGCTTGCCGATATTTTATTCAACTGCTCATTCCACAATAAAGAGTCTCGTCTCTCTTTCTGGCTGTTTTTCTAGGCCAGTTGTTCATAATTAATCGCAGTTGTTTGCGCAGGCTGCAGTGTAATAACATAGTGTAGTTCCATTTGTGCATTAGCTGACATTTGATGCAATATATTGTGTAGCCTACTATTTCATTTAACAATAATATTATATAAATTAACCTCCCACGGTTCTAAA